ACACACACACTAACCTCACACACACACACACACACACACACACACACACACACACACACACACACACACACACACACACACAAAAAAGTCTGATGACTTTACAGGATCAGAGGCAAAAAATAAACAAAAAAAAAAAAACACACAGCAAGTTGGTCCAGATACCAAAATAAAACGAGCGCAGCCTTTAGAGGCTGATGGAGCTAGAAATAAAGAGGCGGCGGTCCAACAGAACAGTGTTTCTAAAACAACCAGCGTCGGTCTGAGCGTGCTCAGTTTGGATTCTTCAGCTGAATGTTGGTGAAGCTTTTGGAGGCGTGTGCAGGCGACCAATGAAATCAGGTGTGCATTCAAATCCTTGGCTTCATTTCAAGTTCGGAGTTAAAACATACCCGGTAAGCCTGGCTGCTAACTCTGCTGACAGCGGCATAAAAGTGAACCACAACTATGAAGACTAATCGAATGCATTTAGTTTAGCTTTCAGCATTTGTAGGAAACTAATTAGCTGCAGCTAAGTACAATGAGACAGCTTACAGCTTTCCAAATGTTTAAATCCTGCAGTCCCTGCAGCGTTGGATCAGCAGGGACGACAGCGAAGAGGAGAATTTAATTTGGCCTAGTTAGCTGGGTGCTGAGTGTACATTGGTGCTGCAGATTTAGTCCTATTAAAAACACTGTAATGCGTTTATACAGATTGCTAAACATACGCTGCGCTTTATTGCTGAGACACAATCTTCTTCCATATTGTTGGGCAAGGAGGGGACGGGAGGAGGGAAAGAGTGTGTGTTCAATAAGGCGCCCCCTGATCCGTTAGAGGAAGATGCGTGGAGGTAATGAGGCAGCACATGCGTGATCGTGAGCGTGAGCGGTGTGTGTAAGGTGTCTGCGTTATATACTGGATGTCCACGGACCACTGAGCTCTTTATTTCTAGCCCCGAACGTGTTTGCATAAAAATAAAAATAAAAACGCCAACTCCTCGTGGCATTTAGTCTTAAATCAGGAACCAAATAGTCAGGACACCAAAATAACTCGCATGAACATGAGGAGTACAGAAGAGCTGGAATGGAACTAGGATAACCACATCTGTCTCTGCGTCTCACTCTTTCTTTTGCTTTGAAAGTCTCTGATTAGAGCCAAGTTACTAATATGTTTTCTTCCAAACATGCAGTTTGTGTGAGTTCTAAAACCTCAAGCCAGCACTAAGGTGTGTGATCTGTTTTGTTCTGGTACTTCTCGCTGCTACGTCTTCTTGCTGGTTGCTTTGTCTTGTTGCGCGGAGGCGGACACAGCGTTGGCAGTTGTCGTCTGGGGTTCGGAGCTCTTGCGCTGTGGCTCAGATGCTGCAGAGGAGCTTGGGTGAGTGTTGAGGGCAGGCTGAGCGGCTGCTGCGACCGGCCACGGTGCAGATGCAGACGTAGCAGCGTTCTCCCTACATGCAGACCCTGATGTGGGCCTTTCTGGGACATCCTTGCGGTATGACGGCGGCAGGGCTGCAAAGTCTTTCTGGGTGGATGGTTTGGTCGACCTCAGTGAGGGGGTTGGTGAGGCAACTTGCTCAGTTTTCTGTCTTGTTTGGGACTCCAAAAGGTGAGAGGACTGAGGGGACTGAGGGGTTGGGGGCTTTTTAGAGGGAAATGAGAGGGGGCCAGTTGGTGTGACTTCTGGGGTGCCCCCTGTGGATGGTTTCGGGTCCTGCTGGCTCTTGTCTGCGGCGGGGCTCAGTTTGACGGGACCCAGAACGCTCTTAGCTACCGTCGCAAGCTGGGACACAACTTTCTCCACGGCACTCTCAGGGGCCGGAACTGGGGAGCTGGAACTGGAGCTGGAGCCGGAGCCGGAGCCAGAGCCAGAAGTGGACGAGGGCGACGCATTTAGACTTGCAGCAGCCGCAGCACAGAGTCTCCGGTTGTCTGCCTCCTTCTTCTCCTTGGGGATGCTAGGAGAGGAGCAGGAGGCGCGGGGAGTCTCTTGGCTGTCAGTAGCACTGGTGGCAGTTCTGGAGTCTGTGCTATTCGTGTTGGTTCTGCACTCTGTAGTATCTGTGGTGGTCGTGGTAGAGGGGACTGTGGTGCTAGGGCTGTCCAGGGTTTGGTCCTCTGCCCTGGGCTCTGAAGGTGCAGTCCTCCCCCCGAGTCTCTTTGAGTCCTGTGGAGGAGCTGGCTTGAGGAAAGTGTCCTTGCTGACTGAGATGAATGCACTGCCTGGGGTGGAGAAGGGAAGGGAGCCCTGAGTGGGTTTGGTGGTACCTCTCGGTTCTAGAACCTTCCTCTCTTGTTTTGCACTGTCTTCCGTAGATGAAGCAGACCTTGCATCTTTTACTCCCAGAGAGGGGGTGCTCTGATTAGCCTTTGTTTCTGCAAGAGAGGGGAGGGTGTGCGAGGGAGTGGGCCTGCCTATCTGGGTGGGCCCTGTGTGGGTGAAGGTGGCATGAGGGGTGCAAGGGGAGAGGCAGAGGGAGGGCAGGGTGCCTCCGGGGCCCGTTCTCACAGTGGTGGGCCTCAGCAGGGGAGGTGGGGTGAAGGTCGCCCCCCTGCGTCCGTCCTGGCTGTCCTCTGAGCCCTCATCCGTCTCGTCCTCAGATGAATCGACCTCGTGGATGGCGTCTTGCTTCTGGAGCGACTCCCTCCGCTCGGCTCTGTCCTGCCGGATGGCGGACAGTTTGTCCTTCAGCTTGCTCTTCCCGGGGGCCAGGCCCAGCGAGCCGGACACCGTGCTGAGGGCGCCGTCCCCTTCCTGACGCCCTAACTTCCTGGATGAAGAGGAGTGTTTCTGCAGGCTGCCCGTCTCCACGCTGCGTCCTGCTGAGGACAGCAGACCCTCGCTGGCTGACTCCTGAAGGTTAGTGAGGAATAAGACGCGTTCAGAATAGCGTGTTTGACAACCCGTACAAAACACTTAAAATGTCATTATTTTAACTTTAACTTCTTAATCTAAGAAATTAAGACATTATTATGAAATCAATTTATTGCCAACTTGTATTTTGCATGACGAACTCATACCTGAAGGCTCTGTAGGCTCGGTTCTCTCTGCAGAATCTCCTTCTTAAACTCAGAATGCGAGATGTCCAGACTGTGTTTGCGGCTCCCCGCAGTCGCTCCCACGGCGGCCACCCCAGACGGAGACGGGGGGGGGGTTGGAGAGTGAGGAGGCCAGTTTCTCAGCAGACTGCACCCTCTTGAGGAGCGGAGAACGTGGAGGCTCCGCGCTCTTAGGCCTGGATATCTGCCTCACCTGGGGAGGGGAGGAGTGGAGCTTCACGGGGAACGACTGACCCACCGCAGACTGTGCCAGAGCGTGGCTGGGCAGAGGGGAGGGTGAGCGCTGTGGCGAGGAGCTCTGAGGGGTGGGCGAAGGTGTGCGGGCCAGAGGGGAGAGGGGGATGTTGCCGGCAGACTTGCGTCGGGGTGAGCGGTACTGGCGCTGGAGCTTCGGGGCGAGGCCGTGCAGGGAGCTGGGCCTGATGTGGCCGGAGCTCGCCGGGGAGTTTGGGACACTGGAGCTGGGAGAGCTGCTCTGAGATGAGTTTCCACCAACTGACGGGTAGAGAAGAAGAACATAATATGTGAATATCATATTTAATATCCTGGTGTGTAAATATGTACATACGTTACATGTGTATATTTTTCATTTTTCAATCTGTATATCAGTCCTTTTTCGTGTATCATTTGTTCATAATAAATGAAAGATAAGATGCATCATAGAGGTCAAAAATTAAGAAAAAAAGTAAGACTCAGCATGAGGAGGAACGCTGAGTGTTCAAACTTTCAAATATCATACTGATCTGTGAGACCGACACCCCTGATGTCCACGGAATATATACATACCAACTTATTATTGCAGTACAGGTGAGCGTTTGTCTCTCACCTGAGTGGGTGGAGTCTGGCGTGGACCTGTAGCCCTGCGTCGGGCTCCGTGGTGACAGATTGTGTGTGGGCGAGCCTGGGCCGCTCTCCCCAGAGGAGAGAGAGCGGTTCAGAGAGGACAAACTGCGACTGGTGTGGAGGAGAGACGCCTGCTTGGTGATCTTCCTGAACAGAGACGTCCTCTTCTTACTGCGATACAAAGCACACAACAGTTCACTCAAGGAAGCCCCACATTAAATACAGACAAGTGATGTTTGATACAACACAGGTGTGTCCCCCACCTGTCCTGTCCCTCCTTGGTCTTGGTCTTCTTGTTTCGTCTCGCCATCTTGGATTTGTTGGTCGTCTTTCGGGCGGGGCCGACCTTGATGGTTGTGTTCTCAAACGGGGTGGCAGAGATGGAGACTATGGGACCGCTCTGAAGGAGGACAGACGGAACATTACAGATGTTGATGGACATGTTTTGTTTCAGTTTCACTTTACTCAGCTACTGGTGCAAATTTATATTAAAGCTACCACGTGGAATTTAAATTTTGTGTTGATTTTGGCGGTCCCTGTGGACAACAGTGGTAGTGTTTCCGAGCACATGATTCCTTTTAGAAAACGTCTCATTTTACTGCAGCAGGGTTTGACAGACTGCCCTGCTCAGTCCTGGTCCTGGTTCTGCGGTGCCTCTCTTCCCTCCAACGGGCCCAGCAATACGGCCTGCGTCTCCAGCAGTGTGCTGATGGCTCCCAGCGGACACAACACTGTTTACTTATGTAGCTCATATAGAGGCAATCGTACGTATGTATATTATGCATTATAAACAATATTGAAGGATAAATTCACATAATTTTTCAACATTAGCATTAGGTAAAAATGAGTGTTTATCAGTACTGTGAATTTCTGAAACCAAAGAGTAGAATTAAATGTACTTTGTGTGTTCGTACCTTCAGTATGAGCTCCACCACCTCTGTGTGAACCAGACCGTGAACCGGCTCTCCGTTGACTTGGGTGATCAGGTCTCCCTCCCTCAGCCCCGCATCGTGGGCTGGACCGCCCACCTCCACATGCTGAGGGCGAGCAGAGAGAGGTGGTCAGATGAGCGATAGAAAGAAAGGTCGAGAGAGAAAAGAAGGAGAGAAGCAGGAAGATGGAAGGAATGGAAATGTATTTAAGACCCATGGGCCTGTTCTTCTGGTGTTTACTGCCATCTTCTGTCAACAACAAGAATCCCAACACACTGCACCCACTCTGACTACAGGCATTCTGAATCAAATATACACTGCACCTGATATCTGACCTCCTCTTGTTAATACATTCAGTACATGCTGTTTTGTACTGAATGTATTAAAGATGTTAGTTTGAGTATTTTTGTCAGCATTAGTTTTTCTCTGCGGGACTCACCCAGACCATGTGGTGCACAGTGTAGATGTCAGAGTCTCCCATGTACACTCGGATGGCCCTCAGGGTGAAGCCATACTTCTTGCCCGCTCTTTGGATCACCATGGGGGGCTTGACGGCTGGGGACAGGTCGCGGCTCGGGGAGGAGTCCCGCGACGACGGATTGGACGACAGTGAGTGGGGTGACATCGGGCTGGCCAATGGAGAGGCTCCATGGTGGTCTAAAAGCCGACAGACAATGAACATTTGGGTCGGTGAGGTTGGTGGCTATATGGAGTGCGTTAAGTACAATCGCAGACTTTAATTTCCTTCTCAGGCCAGGATCATACTTAATCAATTATTATCCAGAGATCCTTTAATTGTCTTTTGGTCTATTTTTTTTACTTTTGGTTTTATTCTTCTGTATTTTTCTCCAATAAATCAACTTTATATTGTAAAGTGAATCACATCTAGTGAGCACATCAAAGCCACAAGATTTGTTGATAGAACTCCTTTAACCTTGGAAAAAGAACATTGAATCCTGGTGTTCATCGTTCAGCAGCAGTACCTCCTCCCTCATGCTCCCAGCCTGACACACTGACCTGCAGGGATCATCAGTGACAATGTTGTGGCAGACGCCGACTTGATGACCTTGTTGAGCGGTCTGGAGCTTGGCGCCGCCGTGTGTTTGTCTGCATCCCCAGACAGCAGCCGATGGCGAGCCCTGCGAGCCGCCAGGTCGCTGATGGCTCTTGGAGTGGACGGAGAGTCGCTGTCTGCTGCAGCTTTAGCAGCTGCACTGGCACCGCCGTTACCTCTGTGACCACGGTCACTCACGTCGCCTGAACCGCCCGCTGCAGGGTGAGAGGAAGGTGAGAGAGGAAGCTCAGATAGTGTGTCCGTCAAATACCAAAAAAAATTGGGTTAAAATAGAGTTCAGAGAATCAATCAGGGTGACAGCAAATATTCAATTTTATACTTTTTCGGGCCAAATTCAAGACGTATTTTTGGACAAATCCTGCAGAAAGTTATCCGATGATTTCTCTCTGAAGTTGAATCGACAGACAAAGAAGTTTCCCAGTTTCACGAGGAACAGATGTGAAGTATCAAGGGTCAGAATATTCAGGATCAGTGTAAAAGAGAAATGAAATCAGCTAAATAAACTGTAATTCAAATTAGACAATTTAATGACTCTTATAAAAAAGTATTTGTTATTAAAGTACATTCGTAGAACTGAAAACCTAAAGGTGAAAACCACATCTAGACCTTTGTCTTGTGTTGTTGTATAATCCCTGCGTCTCCACAGTGTGTGTTTGTACTGACATGTGAGCGTGGCCTTGCTCAGTTGACTGCAGGTGGAGCTCGGTGTGGTGGGAGACTCATCCAGCTTCAGCTCTCTCTCCACTGGGAGCTCTGGGATGGCGAGGGGCAGCTCGTCACACCGCGGGCCCCTCACTGCACTCAGACCCAACAGGCTGGGACTCTTGCGGCTTCCAGCTGCACCTGTGAGACCAACAAGACAGATCCAGGATTTGTGTTACAGCTCATTCATGATATTCTGTATGTCCTGGCTACTACTTCAGGGGGATCCCTGCTTTTCTTCAACTAAACGCCTGTACATTTTAGGGGTTTAAGGCACGTAGTGGCCATCACAGTATCCTTCCTGCGTTTTACCTTGACCCCCCTCTTCCTCTGAGGAGATGGCGAAGCGGGGCATCTCAATGATGGCTGAACAGCAGCGTCTCCGGACGGTCAGTGGTGGGCTGGAGTCGCTCTCTGTGTGGGACGACTCCGAGACAGACAGACGCTTCCGCAGGCTGAGGAAGTAAAGTTGGAGATGAGAAACCGAAATACACGTCTAAAACACAGCGAGCCAACACAAAAAAACAGCAGTTATATGACCAACCATGGGTTAAACTGACTATCAGCATACTTTAAAACATAGAGGATTTCAACACACCGCCATAATGGACTCTGGAGGTGTTCCTGAAAATAAACTAAAAACTCCTATATGGCTGCGGGAGAACAAAACTACCTAAATGAAGCTTTTAGTATCCCAGCTTGTTTCACGTAATATTTGCAACAACTGCACAAGTGTATACTTTTTTGTTTTTGTTTCAAAGGACAGGAGATTGTTGCTGTGTGGTGCTCCATATGGAGGTGAAGAACTCACATCTCTGGAGATCCCACCAGCCAGGATCGATCTCTGGACTTGAGTCCGCACAGGCTGTCGATGCGATCTCCTCCCTCCTCACTGAGGCTGCGTTTGGTGGGAGGAGGAGTCCTCTTCTCCTCATGAAGAGACAGACGCTCCATACTGCTGTACACCTGCACACAACATGGCGGTAATGTCATTACCGGACATTGTGCCACTCTATGCCTTTACAGCTGCCCCCTTTTTGGACCTGTGACTGTCTGGATGTATTAATTAGGGTGTACCTTGCTGAAACGAGGCGAGCAGGAGGAGAACTGCCGAATCTCCACATGTTCCTCATCGTTGGTGTCATCCTCTTCCTCTGAATCTACATGGTGGTACCGGTCGGAGCGAGCTGAGAGAGAGAGAGACACACACAGCGATTAGGTTGTGTGTTGATTACAGTACGAGCACATGAGATTCGGACGAAGCCGTCGAGAGACATACTGTCAAAGTAGCTGGTGTCGTCCTCAGACTCCAGCTGGGGAATGAACTCGGCCTTCTGCCTCAGCAGGCTGTTCCAGTCCAGCTCTGTGAAGAACGAGTGCTGCTTCACCTCAAAGGCACTTCCTGTAGAGATGAAGGAGAGAGAAATGAGGGGGAGGAGAAGTGAAGGAACAGAGAGGGAGGAAACAGATGAGAATGCACAGCGGCAGCTACAGTATCTGATTTGACCAGCTCTGGACCAAACAGCCGGTGGGAGTCTGGTTGCACCTTCATTTTAAAACTCTTGGTGTAAAATAACAAACAAAGAAACGTCAGATTCAAAGAGCTAACCACAAGACAGCAGAATCCATCCTGCACAAAGAGAAAGACCGTATGAACTCTGACACAAGAGGGCAAGTAAAAAGTGTGGACAAAGAGAATCAGGGTCCTGGAAAAACTTTTCATCAATAAGGTTTACTACATTCTTAGAAACCCCAGTCAGCATGTGTGTGTGTGTGTGTGTGTGTGTGTGTGTGTGTGTGTGTTACCTGTGCCCAGTCGCTCCAGAGGATTTTGTCTCAGCAGTCTGGAGATGAGGTCCTGAGCTTCCTGAGGCAGAGCTTCGTCCTCCTCCGGCCAGATGATCTCATCTATCACAAACACACCAACACAGTGTCAACACATGGATCGTTGGTGTCTTTATCAGTGAGACAACAAATAAGAAATGATCCAGTGGAACGCTGGTTCTGTGACTGTTGTCAGCCCTGCTTGGAAGCTGAAAAACAGTCACGATTCGCTGTTCACCCATTTCTAATATATATATGACTACTTATAGCAAACACACAAATGTTGTGGTTTTGGGCGTCATACTTGCTTCACATTGATGACATAATAATATTCAAGTGTCTTGACATGGATCATCTCTCTTACAGGAGTGACCCGGCCAAAATGGCATCGGAGTGTCACGTACTGTAAGAACACACATGACAGCATCCTTCCTCATGAAACGTGTCTTGAATGCGATGCTTGGATGCCTGATATGAAGGCATCATCCTGGCCTGACAGGTCAAGAAAGAACAAGACAATAGTAGACAATCAGACACGGCTCATCTAGAATGATCCTTCAAGTATTTCCTCCATCACTGGCTCCAGTAGCCGCTATGTTAATTTCAGAAATCTCTCTTTCAAACACATCAACCAACTAACATGTTGTTTGTGTCAATTAATCCTGAGACATTCAGTCTTAGTGGTTCCACAGATGGCACCCGAGAGCTCTGCCCTACGTGATGCACCTTACTGACAATCATCCTGGAGACGGGTAGAAAAATACCTTCAAGGCACACGGAGGCCCTCAATTCTTTATCACCACGCTGCATCAATACGATACGGACTCTCATAAAAGAGATACGCGGGGATCAATGCAGGTTTATGATCATTGACTTGCCCTTTCATCAAAGGGAGAAAAGAACGCAGAGGAGAAATCACAATTGATTTCATTCCCTGTGAGCGAAGGCTGTGCCTCTCTGCTGCAGAGCAACATCTCTATCTCTCCGTTTCTGATGATCTTATCAAGTCAGCCTGGAAGCCCTCAGGCTCCGACATAAAACATTCACAACGCAGCACAGACATACTGTAACAACATCTCCACTGGAGGATAGGAACTACACAACATCAATTATTGAGGATTTGATCATGTGATGATTAGAACAATGCTTTTACTTTTGTTTTTGTCTGCACAACAAAGTTTTCTGCAAACAATAAAGTTCAGAAAACACCAGTGATGAAAACGACTCATTCTGGGAAAAATGATATGAACTTTTCCCTGTAATCTAGCTCTACTGGGTGTAAATGTTTATTCAGAATTACAGTGGCAGTGATTGTAACGGGCAGGTCATTGAATCTTACAACTAAATGGTTTCTATCAGTGGTTGGCAACATTTCTGGTGACCCCTTAAATTAAATGTCAACTTTAGATCTGAAACAAGTGATTTTCCCTTTTCTCAAAAAAGGCTAAAAAGATTACAGATAATTGTAGAAATCTCAAATTTTCAAGTGACAATATGCTTTGTGATTTTTTCGATCCCGTTAGTCCACATCTACCTTGTGACTCCGTGGTTGAACCCCGACCACCAGCTCAGGCCCTGATGTCTTGTGTGGGGGCTGTCAAGTGGATTTCAACTGCTCAACAATGATGCTAGTGCGTAAAATGTTACATAAACTGATTGCGATAATGGCCAAATCCGTATTGTAGAAAAGCAGCATTTGTTGTTTAATTGCAGCGATAGTCTGTCAGAACTGCGACTCACCACTGATGACCTGACCAAACAGCTCCTCCGGTGTGTCTCCAAAGAAAGGAGCACAGCCCACCAGGAACTCGTACAGGATGACTCCCATGGCCCACCAGTCCACCGGCTTCCCGTAGCCCCGACGCAGAATCACCTCTGGGGCGATGTACTCTGGAGTGCCACACACCTGGAGAGACATCAGCACACAGGGAATCAGCTTGGGGCGTGAAAGACGCAGTCGTCAGAAATAAGGCAAATCAAACCAATCCCCAAAATACATGATCTTGCAATTTTTCAACTGAACTGGAAGAATGCTTACCAATTGTATGATTATCTGTAACTTCATCTCTTTAATCAGCTGCAATTATGCAGTTTTAAATATCATGCCATCTATCGCAAAATAACACATACAAATTGAAAATCTGTTGCAGATTTCATTATTTTGGGCCACAAATACCCACACACCCACACCCACCCACACAAACACACCCACACAGTGTTAAGACGTTAGCTCGTACCTGTTTATCGAGGAACTCTCTGGTGTCTTTCTCGATGTGTCCTTCATACAGGTTTGTGGTCAAACTCATCAAACCGATCTTTGAGAGACCGAAGTCTGTCAGCTTAATGTGTCCCATGGAGGTGATGAGAAGACTGAGAGCATATGAAAAGTATGGTCATCAATATGGCTGTCTTACAAGTACTTCCCTTTATAATAATGCAAAACTGATTCATCCCCTCCACGACTAGAAAAGTGCTATACAAGTACAAGTACAAGTCCATTTACCATTACTCTGTGATTATACGTAATACAATTAGAAAACACATCCTTTAATTCCATGAATGTGGTGAATATAAAATAAAGGTGGGCTCTGCATTTAGGTGACAATAAGTTGGTCTTACTTGTCGGGTTTGAGGTCTCTGTGCACGATGCCGTAATTGTGAAGATACTCCAACGCGAGGACGGTCTCTGCAAAGTACATACGGGCCATGTCGACCGGCAAAGCTCCGATATTCTTCAGCAGCGTGGCACAGTCTCCACCTACAGAGGACGCCCACCATATTAAACACAACACAGCTGCTAGCAGGAACAGTGAACTATAACTACGATCATGATTAGCTTACCCTCCACGTACTCCATCACCATGCAGAGGTGTCTCCTGGTCTCGAAGGAGCAGAACATGGAGACGACAAACGGGTTCTCGGCAAACGTCAGGATGTCCCGTTCCACGAAGGCCTGCTGGATCTGGTTCCTCAGGATCAGGTTCTGCTTGTTGATCTTCTTCATGGCGAAACGCTGCCGGGTCTCCTTGTGACGCACCAGGAACACGGTGCTACACAGGAAGAGACAGACAGAGGTTTCAGTCCAAGCATATGTAACCATCGATCAGTTTTCGTTTAGCACCATTTGTTATTTTGCAGCAATTATGTATTAATATTAGAATATCAAAAGATGTAAATGTTGTTCTGTCTCACCCGTAGGCTCCGTTACTGATGAGCTTGATGTTTTCAAAGTCTTCCTCACGAGGTGCTTTGGCTTTAAAGTGTGGAGGAGCTGCTGGGACTGGGGTGCCTTGACCCTGAAACACATGAAACATCAGCCATGTTTATAATTAATACGTGGATGGAAGGCACAAGCTTATTTATTCATGCACCAACTAGGACCATCCTATTATATTTGTTCATCATTTACTTTAAAAAAAAGAAAGAAATGCATGTTACTTAAAGACAAAGTAAACCTTTTACATCGGTTCCTTTTGCAGATAGAGTGTTTTAATAACTTCATGCTTACAGACATAACATCTGTTAACCATGACAATGATAAGATTATGTACTTACGTCCACGGAGTCATCAGTCTCTGGGGTTTCTGGGTTCCCACTGTCATAGCTGCTCAGCTGGGCCATTTCTACAGAGAGACACACACAAGTATCAGTTACCAAACTGAGCAGAACAAGAAAAGAAAGAAATAAGGTCTCACTACACAAAAACATTAAATTAAATAAAACTAAATAAGATAAGATGAAATAAAAAAGATGAAATAAAAATAAAATAAAATACCCTCCAGGGGATCCCTGGTGAGGCCCAGCTGGCTGATGATGTATCGGGGGATGTCGCACTTGATGCCTTGGCCCTCCTTGGCATGGCCCTCTGCTGCTTCCAACAAATGGTAGAACTCCTCCGGATCAAACTCCTGCAGGGGAGAAAGACAGGGGGAGGCAGCAGGGAGGGAGTGAGGGGAGACAGGAGGAAGGAAGGAAAGGCAAAGATTTAAGCTTCTAAGATGGCAACAAAAAGCCCACAAACAACGATAAATATTTACTAAAATGAAAACCCTTGCATTAACGTCATGAATGTCATTTTGCGTCACTTTTTGGTGCTTTTGTTTGAAATGCAGCTGGATCCAAGGATGTTTGTTACCAGCAATGCTGTAGTATGTTACTAGTTCGGTTTCCACTCTGACAGTAACTTTATTTCAAAGTGGATTTTTTAGTGCAAATCCCTGTTGGCAGATGGTCTTGGGCGTCAGTTGAGAAGCAAGTGTTTTATGTTGAAAGATGAATAGAGTGACAGGAGCATTTACCTCCTCAAGCTCCAGCGTGCATCATTTTGCAAGTCATTTTCTTTTTGTTTTATAAATTGTGGTAACATCCAGTCACTGTTTGATTGCAAGCAGAGGGACATTGTTCTTCAACTAAGGAACAGACCCTGTCACTGGAAGTTTTCTTTGCTTGTTACAATAAAATGCAACTGATTTAAAATGTGGTCTTGAAGGTTTTTGTCAGTCTTGGTCTTGTCTTTATCTCAAGCCCTCCAAGACAACAACAACAACTCTGCTGGTTGTGATGCATAAAGATCGCAGCGTCCAAGAATAAAACTGTGGCCTCTACAACAGCAGCAGAGTGAGAGGGGATGACTGGATAGACAACGATATGAGAAGTGGCCCGAGGTTTGTGTCCTCTGACAAAGACGTGTAGACACTCACACACACACACACTCCCTGCCCTCTCCTCTATCTGTGTGCTTCCATTTGTAAAAACCCATCCTGTACGCTGTCACGGCTTCAGTACCACACAATTAGTCAAAACCACCATTGTGCGCACCGGGGCAGCCTCCCCCTACTGTCCTCCCACTCTCCTCCTCCTCACCCTCCGCTGCCTCTCCAATTATCCCTCTGTCTTCTACACTTGTTTTTTTCTCTCCACTCGGCCTTTATCTATTCTCTCCTCTTCACCGTCTCCCTCCTTGCCTCATTTCTGGGCTCAGACGAGGTTGGATTCACCTGTTTCAAACCAAACATGCACCATCTCAACCCAAACGGATGGAGCTCTGTGTGGAGGAAGAAGAAAGTGCCTCTGCAATTCATATATAAAACCCTGGCCCACCAGCTGAGAGGCGCTAATGTGTATGCGTGTGTGCGTGTGTTTACATTAGGCTGATTTAAAATGCTCAGAGGAAGTCCATAAATGAATTGCTGTGGTTAAATCATGTCACAACAGGGAGCAGGAAGCTCTAAATTGTTTATTAACCATGCGTGCAGTGGAGCTGTACAATATGAAAAAGCTATTCCAGTTAATATTGGTCATATCTTTCATGGCGCTATTTCAAACAGACTGTAATTTACACCACAGTGATTAAAATGCAAAAACTACTCGTTGAGGATAACCAAACAGAACGAGGCTGATTAAAACAGTCAAGAAAATTTAACTACACTACGTCCATATGACGCATGATTGAAACATAATTGAACACGTAAATCTAACAGAAGACGTATTTGCATGATTTCGGTGTGTATTTGATGAATACAAGAGTTACTATATTCATGGTTTAATGTTGTTTGTCTTCATCTTATTGTGGCACATCATAATGATATCAGTGGTGGAAGAAGTAGTCAGATACTGTACTTGAGTAAACATAGCACTACCACAACGCATTGTTCCATCTGTCAAAATGTATAACATATATTCTTATAATATATTTGTAACCTGATTAATATACTTGTGCATTATTGGCTCCAGCTGACAGATAAATGTAGTGTAGCAAAAATTACAATATTTGTATTATTTATTAAGTATTAAAATCGCTGAAACAGAACCAGTGATATTGTCTGTTTTCATTCCACGCATAGTTAAAACCTAGCATCTACATTACCCACAATGCAACTGGATTTGGTCAAAGATTCGGGTGTGTTATGCTAGTAGCAGCTGATGTAGCCTGCAGCAGAGATGAGGAGCGGGCTACAGGAGTCTGCTGAGCTCACTCCTTTCTACCTCCACACCTCCACATACTTTGTGTCCGTCCGTCGGTGAGTGTGGGACATTCATCGACCGTGTGCGTTTCTCTCACCAGACACTCCAGCAGACGCGCTGGCCGGGCGATGATGATCATCAGCTTCCTGACGAGTTGCGTGACAAAGGTCACCTCCACGCTCTCCGAGCGCTCGTGAGCCTGGACACACAAAGACAACAGAGCAACAGGAGGAAGGTTAGCTTGGAGGCATGTGCAGAAAATATTTCACCTGAGTAAGGTTCTTTCTGGGAGACGTCTAACCCCTCATAATCATATATATATATGCATTATCTTTAATCCCATTTTTAGTAATTCATCATGAAGTGTTCTTTGTCCTTGAAGCTGTGCAGAGAATGTCACTTGTATTGTGTTTGTCCTTCACAAACAAACAGTTTGAGGACAAACGGATGCTGGAGTCCTTCCCGCGGTGACACCTGAGAGGTAATCTAAATCACAGTGACCTCCGCCTCGCTCCCTGATATCCACCGTGAAATGTCTGTCAGTGTGGAGACAGAGCAATTTACCCAGCAATCCACTGTAACTGACTGGAAATGCATCTGGAGCAAACACTGATCCCCGGAAAGAAATGGGGTGGAAGTAAAGTGTGTGTGTGCAAAGTGGAAGCTGTAACAATTACAAACCACCCACTGCAAAATATGTTTCCTTCTCAGGGGGGTAATGTGTGTGTGTGTATGAATGCAGCATGTATGTATGTATGTATGTATGTATTGTATTGTATGTATGCATGTATGTATGTATGTATGTATGTATTGTATTGTATGTATGTATGTGGCAGACAGGCTAACAGAGAGCTGGCCGGCGGTTCATAAACGAAGCATGTGCAGCTCCTTGCTGTTTGTCTAACAGAGCTGTGCTGACAGACGCCGGGCCCGACCCCCTCCTGAATTATTTATAACTGTAATGAGAGCTGGATGGGGGGGGGGGGGGCGGGGTGTCTATATACTGTATGTGCATGCTAAATATGCATTAGGTTATATATATGTAAACGTGACGGGGACTAAATGTGTGTGTGTGTGTGTGTGTGTGAGGTGACTGTACAGGCCAGTGATCGGTGAGTAATGGACAGCTGAGGGACAGACTCCCGCTGCACAGCGGCCAATTAACCAGTCAGAGAGAGGGAGAGTGTGTGTGTGTGTGTGTGTGTGTGAGAGAGAGAGACACAGACCATATATTCACTCTGCATGTCTAATGTGAGAGAGATTCCCTGGTGAGTTACACAGTATAGAAAATGTGCTGTAACAGCTTTTATGCATGTGTATACTGTGTGGTATAATCTGACACATGGAGTAAATTAGAGTTCAATGGTTTGACATAAATATTGGATGTAAAAAGCTTTCCTTGCATTGTTTAGACACAAGAACATCTGTAAATAAAGGATACACTGTTACTTAAAGGCTATTTTTAATAACTGAAAGATCATAATAAAGGCAAAAACAAATGACTTAACGTCTTATATCATCATCGTTCAGTTCAATGTAATATTGCTCCTGAGTTTTTAAGACAACATTCTTTTTTTCTCAACTTTGAGATATTTTTGTTACATTTGTGTTGTCTTGTAATTTTAAATCGGTACTAATTTAATTTCTGAGGAAGATTACAGTTTAGAAAAATCTATTTCAGTATTTGCTGTTAGTGACTTTTTGAATGTATTTTAAAATGTCCCGCTCGGTAACTCATCATGTTCATTCTAATGGCTTTACATCTGGACAATAACGGTTAGACTACTGTGTTAGTTTATGGGTTTCATACACGATTTCATACACCTGGTGTACGAATGTGAACTGTGATAGTTTAGCATTTTAGATAACATTAAAATAAATAACATTAATGTTTTTATTGTTCATTAGTTTAAACCTATATAGTTAGAATAAGAGAAATGAACGGGACAGAGGTGACGTCACCTCTTGTAGAGCCTCATCACTTTCTCCACGCAGGTGATGTTTCCACCTGTGTCCGGCTGAGAGCCAGTCAAACCCAGATGTTAGCAGCTGTATCTGAGCCCTGATGAACACGCTGGAGTTTCAGACTGACCGATTGACCGATAACCAGAGCTGAGTTAGCATTCTGCCTAGCCCTCCGCCCTCAGGTGACCTACGGGGGTCTAACAGGGTCTCCCAGGGGTTCCAGCAGGGGATGGCCTGGATGCAGGTTGCCATGGTAACCGCCAGGCAGGTCACTAAGGCCCCATGACGGGGATGGATGAGGGAGAGGGAGAGAGGATGAGCGGCAGAGAAAAGAGAGAGAGACACGGAGGAGACGGGGCAAAGGGGGGAGGAGAGATAAGAGACGAGACCAGGACTAGAGGAGGACGGAGGGAGGAGAGGTGAGCCGGCCTCCTGCGAGCTCTGTAATGGGGTCATGACACGAGGGGGGAAAGAACGGATGGATGAATATAGGAGTGGATAAGCAACAAGGACAAAGGCAAAGGCCTGAGACACTCCGAGACAAGAGGGAGTGGACTGATGAAAAACTAGATTTCAACAGAGGAAGAACGGTTCTATTCACTGAAAACATAATAACTCATCATAGCTCATGTGAAACCTGTTTTAACAATATTTCACCACAGAGAAACCTGAAGGCTTGAGAGAGCCTAAGAAGAAGACTTTTTGTTTTTCTTTACACTTAAAGGGTCAGTTCACCCAAATCATTGACACTATTTCTAGAAAGAGGAAATTCTTGTCACCTCCATAAAATAATTGAATTTGACTTCCATTGAATTGGGGAGGCAGACTGATATGTGACAATAGTTAGCATATGATTATGTAAATAGTCCTACAACGTTTATGCCAAGGGACAACTGTTCCTTTAAAGTCTCTGGAAAAAATATTAAAAATGAGACATTCACATTTGTTTATTTTTTCTATAAATGTCTGAAATTTTCAGAAAAATCACCATATCACACATAGTAATATCATGATACAGTGTAAAGTAACATCTACCCTGATAAACTATGAGACGTAATAGATTTACAAAGAACATCATGGTCTGATACCACGAGTGGAAAAGTGAGCAAATAACTTGTGATTTGGGTGAAATGACCCTTTAACCTGATCAACAGCAGCATATAAGACATAAGTTTAGATCACGGTCCGGATACTGAAGGGTTGAGCTGACATCTAAATCATCTCAGAGTCCAGCAGTTCTCAGAGTCGTCCAACTAAACTCACATCGTTCATCAGCCCGTTATGTCCCACAGACGCACAAACTACACCTCGGGCATCCTATTGAGCTGCAGAACACCCAACAGAGCTAAATACAACGTGAATGAGTGTACTCAGAAACGTTTTAGGTGTACTCTAAAAGCATTTTGCTTCTTTACTATTCCATTAATAACTGATCCAAAAGAATCTATCAAAATCCTATACATCACACTGTCATGCCACCAGCACTGATGACTCATTATGAAGTCTGAATTATTAACAGGCTACAGATAAAAACACCCACAGCAGTTGACTGATTACAAGAAGATTTAATAATTCATCTGTATCTGTCATTAAACTCTGGAAAATGATCTCTTTGGAATATTTTCAAAAAGCGGTCGCACGTCTACTCAGCCGTTTTTGTTTCAAGTAAATTATAATAAATTAACAATAACAATTTTGAGAACTTTCTGAGATTCTTGCCTGAGTTTGACAGGAAGTAACAACCCACTAACAGTGAAAGGCAGCTCCTACAAAACTACTTAAAGCAGAACCAAAGCTGAGCTGAGAGGGACTTCAGAGTTAGAGTGAGTCGTCTTTGTCATCATCAGCGTAAACAAGTCCCGACGTGTCAATAAAGCCTGACGGAATCAAACCGAAATTGACTCAACTGTAAAGTCCGCGTCTGCCTCCTCCTCCTCTTCCTCCTCCCAGCTGTGAGTGAACACCTTCCACTTGCTCCTCATCATCACATCTTCCAGCACCTCCTCCTCCTCCTCCAGCCTCCTCTGCCACGAGATGCGAGACATGTTTCCACCAAAAAGCCCAAAACCACGAAACAAGGATTTTCCATAAAACAACGCAGGCAGGGAGGCTGATCTCACACCTCCGTCCACCCGCTCACGGCCTCCATCCTCTCCTCTACTCTGTGGGTCTGCTCCACCTGCTGCTTGGCCACCCGGCAAAAAAACACAAAAAAAAAAAACAGCCTAACGCCGCCTAATTGATGATGTCATCATCCAGCCCCGCATTGCAGCTTCGGCGTCTGGCCCAGATGTGTTCAAGTCCAGTTCCTCAACCCTCCAAAAGCATTCGTACAGGCTTCACACACGTACATTCCACCTCCCTCCCCCTGGGCCCGTCGGCCAATCGGAAACAGAGGAATCCCCTCGAATCCCCTCCCATCCCAAAAACCCTTCGACTGCACCTCCGTCACCCCTCCTGCTCGTCTGGGAGAGTCATCTGTCAGCCCCCGGTGACTACTGGAGTGTGAAATTAAAATCGGGAAGGATGTGCGTGTGCGTGCTCGCCTGCATATATGTGTGTTTGTCTATGATGGAGAGATATTTTGTGTGTGTGTGTCCCAGTAGAACAGAAGGTCAATAACAGGCCGGCGGGAGCCATTATGTGCCCCCCCCCCCCGGCACTGGAAAACTGAGCTAATAGAGATGTCACCAGCGCCACACAATATGTAAATATATTTCTGTGTTCACAAGCATACAAACGCATGAATACGCCAAACCTGTCCGAAGCAGTCCCATCACGCCAAGCAGCGTTCAGCGAGTCAGAGTTGTTGGTCAGTAATAAACAATGCAAGCGCGTGTGAAGGAATGTGTTTGTGTGAGAGCTGAGGCCACAGTCTTTGTGCCTTCGGATGACATCGCACGGCAGTGGCGGTTCGTAACCACGATGAGCGAACGAAGGAGCGCGTCACGCCGTGAAGTTGCTCCACGGTAAACCGAGCGTGACCGGGAGGCTGCCGTCATCATGATGGCTTCATCAAAGTCCAGGACAGACTTTTCACACAGCTGACATCTGGACTTGTTATTTTAGGGGTCTGTAACATCCTAATGATATTGGAGGCAGTTTGTTCCATATCGCAGAATTTAAAAAAGACAAAGGTTTGATGTTCCGTTAACGTAAACATTGGTTCATTTTTGAAAGCTGTTCTTCATATGTGCTGAATTGTTTGCATTTCACATGTTCAGCTGACCTAACCTTGTTAAATTAGCAGTTAATTGGAAGTTTTCCAAATTGAACACACCAATTTACCTAATCCTTTACAGGAGCCTGCACACGAATTACCGGTTATTGTCTAGGAAGTAATTGGGTCATAAAATAAAATAAAAACGAAATATAAAAGGATGAAAACACCCCAGGCTGATCTGATCTGAACTGGTCACAAGTACTTTTTGTGTTTTAAACATTAAATCCTTGTATTTTTTTGTTAGTTTTTTAATTAATTTCATTTAATTCCACTTTCTCTTCCTTGAGTTTGTCTTTTAAATATTGTTTTAATGCCTTTCATGCCTCATCCAAAGCACTTGCAATGGCTTGTTATTGTACTGGTGCCAAATAAATAAGCATGTCATGTCATGTAGCTGTTTAAAATTCCAAAACAAAAAAAATACATGTATCAAGTATTAAAATGATATCTTATTTCTTCAAATATTCCATCTTAGAGTGCTCATTTTTTTCTCTTCTCTCTCTCTGACTCTCTGCTACCTTAATGAAAACATTGGTATCTGTTTTGCAGTGGCAGTAAATAAGCTGTTGCTGCACTTACATCCTGCAGCAGCTTCTCCAGGTTCTCCTGGAGCTCGTAGAAGTAGCGGGAGGTGATGAGGCCCTCTCGGCTTTTCACCAGGCAGTCTCTGGACAGCTCTATCAGCTGGTGGTGGATGAAGCTCAGGACCCCGTCGGCCAGCGGGCACACCTTGTCCGGGGCCGAGGAGCAGAGCAGCACAGCCAGACGCTCCTCCATTTGAGCCGTCGCCTGAGGGGAGGGGAGGGGATGGGAGGCAATTGGGGGGTGGGGGTGGGGGGGATGAGTCACAGTGGGAACGTACGTGACCAAAAACTGCATGTGCACAGGATAATGTCATATATTAGTGTAAATCCATTCTTACTTATTCTTGATTTAATATACTTGTTTGAAACACGAGAGAGAATACATCCTGATACAGTCACAGCACCATATTCACACATATATAAAGCATGAATAAATATGTATAAAAACTAGACATACAATTTCAAATGAGCCCTTTCGAACTGCGCCCGATCACGTATAGAACATGAATAATTGCCTTTCTAGACTAGTGTCATATTTAATTTTTCAAAAAAAAAAAATAGCTGTTACTGAAAAGTGAACATTTCCTGCAGCTGCTTCACAGTAAAAGCCTTTCAGAAAAGAGCAGCGATTGAGCCGTTTTATGTCTGTAGCTACACAACCTGAAGCTAAATCAACTCTTTTTTGTGAGCAGATCTACACACACAAAATCCTGATTACACTATGGTGTTAATCTCAAACTTCCTTATTAAGGTGATTCACACTTGTTTTCTGTTCCCTTCCTCCCTCTCTCTTTCTGCTCCCTCCACAGTGCCTTCAGTGTGTGCAGGAAGTGTGTCTCTCCAGTACAAACCTTGGGGAACCTCTCCTTGTACACATGGTTCATCATCACGATCTCATGGTCGAAGGAGATAGGCGAACGCCCGGGGCTGGAAGGAAAGACAAACACAGCTGAGTGGACACACTCGGTGCTCATTAAAGCCTTAATGTGTTATTCTGAAATAAAGAAATAAATACAAATAAAAAGCAGCCTGTCATGAAGTTAGTAGTTCAACGGATGCATCAGCCTCCAGAAGCTCAGCCGGAGGACGACTCTAATGCTCTATAACAGAGGTTTTTAACAATGAACCTTTGAAATATTAGAACAAACATACTTGTAAACCTGATAGTGTTTGTTACAGCAGTTGACGGTTTACGACAGTAAACTATTGCATTAAAAATAGGAATATTGAATACAAAACGTGGTATATTTACATTTTTTTATTATTAAATTGACCTTATTTATTACTATAGTATAATTATATTGGGATTCATGAATGATTTTGAAATCAACATTTCGTGTTCCTGTGGTCTACTGCTCTACAGGCGTTCTTGACGTACGCAGTAAGTGAGGAACTATAAAAGGAATGAACGGGGGGCCGTCTTGGAGAATCCCCTCCCTGGACCAGCAGACGTTACCTGTGACAAAGGGTCACAGCTAAGTAGATATTGATTTGTTTTAAATCAAATCATAAGCCAAAGCAGTTGACAACCGTCTGTACATCTTCAGTGTATACATACCTGCTCAGTGTACATACTGAGACATTTAGCAGTGCTGTAGTAGCAATTACTGCTCCCTCTGCAGCACACCAAGGACCCGTCTTCAAAGTCAGGTAGCAGACACCTGATGCTTGTGATGCCATTTGTTTAAGTAAATGTATTTTGCCAAAAAACTGACCAACAGT